ATGAAAAAAATGACGTGGTGTTCTCCAAGGTTCAATACTGGGGCCTCTTCTGTTCAACATCTACATGCTGCCGTTAGCTCAGATTATCAAAAACAATCATAGTTCAATCATAGTTCAAAACTTGTTTATTATTTAAACAAAGATAGAAAAAGTATTTTGCCATGCCAGAAATCTGTATTTATGGATCTGGACTTCAACCTGAACAGCTATATCAAGACGGTTACAAAATCTGCCTACTAGCAATGTCCCTAAGCTAAAATGAATGCAGTGGCCTAGAGGAATCGCTAATCAGTCATCAGTTATCATGAGCACAGGGTTAATTAGAAGCCATAATAAGGAGTCTGAGTGGTTGCGCCATATAGTATGTATCATTTTAATAGCTTGATAATTGTCACGGTGTGGTTCACGTCCTGTCTTATTTTGTAGTTTTCTGCCACTCGTGTCCCTGGGTAACTTCACTTCCTGCCTTGTCCTGTCATTCCCTGTGATTGTCTGATCGTTTCCACCTCTGTACAATCACCTGCACCTCCCTAGTGTATTTAAGCCGTGTGTGTCTCTTGTTGCGTCATTCTGTCAGACAGGTGGGGAAGGCAGGACTCAAACTCAACGTCACTTGTCGCGTCATTGTCTATCGTCCCGGATGTTCCTCGTTCCTGCCTGCCTTTTTGCCCCCCGTTCCTGTGTGTGTGTTTTTGCCTGTTGCCCTTTTGCCTTTTGAATATCGACTATTAAAGTATTTTTGCTTTAAACTCTGCATTTGAGTCCTGCCTCCCCGCATCCTTGACAGATAATATCCACTACCACTAATCTGTATACACTATGACAGGTCTGACGCAGTGAAATGTAAAATGTCAGGAATAAATATAATTTATTTACAATTTTCTACAGTAAAAAACACTTGATCCGGTGACCTACTTTTTTTTTTAGGTAAGCATTGTTAAAAATAGTGCCAAAGATATATATGCATCCCCATTATTGCTGTACAAAAATAGCCTTATCTGTGTGCAGGTGGCACTAGAGGGGCCACATTTATAACATATGCACGCTAGTCTTTCCATAGCCTGTGGGAAAGGGAAGGAATGATGTAATGCTGTGGGAGCCTGGGATCGGCCTGGGACAGAAATACATCAGGTCCGATGGATTCCATGAAGGTTAAAATGGTGTTTTTCTGCAGCTTCAGCCATGAGCAAGGTGGACCAGAGCTGTTGACCTATTCTGCTGTAAAAGCACATGTTGAAATGTGAATCCACTGACTACGTGAAATGGAGAAACAATACTTGATTGCATATTGAATATTGAAACAGTAGTAGTTTGGCACACAGCTCCAACATGTCTCTTGGTGAGGTGCCGTGTGTTTACATCTTGTTTTACTTTACTGTAACGGGTGTGGGGGGAACCCAAGAGCAGTATGACAAGAAAACAATGGGTTTGCTAAACCAGGCTTTTCTCACACCGCAGAAAACCAATTCTCAAAAATACAGTCTTTTGTTCAGCTTACAAGGGAAACTGGTTGGAGATAAAAGCCTAAGGTTTGTTACAGGGGCCGGGACAAGATGAGGGAATCCAAGAAACATGCAATCACTCTGCAACTGGAAATTAAAAAGGGATTGCGGGAAAGTCTATCCTGATACTGTGGGTGAGTGTGAGTGAGACTGGGTTTACATACTAAGGAGGGTGGGTGCAGCAGAGTGGCAGCTGAGTGATCGGGCTGACGGGGTGAGTGAGGGAAGCTGAACTGTGACACTATAAATAATTATATATCAGAAGCAGATAGGTAAAGGCACAGTGAACCCAATAGAGATGATTCAATGGTGTAACGTGTTTAAAAATCCTGATCACATGATGTAGATTTGTGTTGATACGCTATTGATCAGTAAAAATCTAATGCTTGGCTAACGACAAAGATCTGCATTCATATCTGAATGTAATCAAATGCTAGCAACTCTAGCAACTTCCTGAACCACAGACCATGGCAAAGTGTAAAGGGGCTCACCTCTGTCAGTGAGTGTTTTTTACTCATTTGCATTGTGTCCTCTTTGACATGCAGCATATGTTTACTTTAATTTGTGCTTCTGTTTTTCTTCAATACGCTATTTAATGTTAAGGTAGCATCATCACTTCACAGCGAGAGGGGATGGCGGGTGGGGGAACTAAGTAAAGCCAATGTTCACTCTGTATGTGTGGGTGAAATTAAAACAGCCAGTAGGTGTGAATCATTTTTCCCTTTGTGTGAATGCTGGGTTCAGACTTCTGACCCTCGGTGGGACCAGTGGACAGATCCACTGATATCCAACAGAAGTGGAAAGACATCAAAGGAAAGGAGTAAGACAGGATGCAGCACAGGCTATATGTCAGACAGAAGCATAATTTCTGCAGTGACCCTTACAAAGGACCAATGAGTGTGAGCTCCTCGGATCTAATATGGTCACAGGATACGATCATTCCCACATGGTAAACCGAGAGTTGTCAATTCAGATATAACCACGCACTTGTAATGTTCATCTCTAACAAAAGTTTACAAGTAAATCCAATCTGCCCAATTGTTTACAAAGGCAAGCTTTTACCGGTATATTTAGCTACGTTGTCAACTTAAGGGAAATGTGGACAAGATGATGGTTAGAAAGAGAAAAAGAAAGACTATGTTTTTATACCAACGTTCAAAATACATTTAGTATATTTTTAACTCTTTAGTCATTATAAAATGTGCACATTCAAAAATAACTTGCCATGAGTACACCTATCCCACTCTCATAGGTCAAAGCTAAACCGCTCAGTGAAACGCTCAGTATTTTATTGTGAGTGAGGTTGTGCTGCAGCATCCGCTTTAGGAGTGTGGTGGTCGATAAGCCAATCAGCTGAGGGGAGAAAGTCCCGGAACGTTGTTGGCAGGATGGCTGAGATGAGCCGTCATGACAGGGCGACTGTCTCATCCCATCATTTATCAGGTGTGACATTCCCTGCATAGAGCACACGGCGCTGTTCTCGGTGTCGTCATTAGCATGTTAAGAGTGTGTTGTCTTGTGTCTGTGTCTGACGACGCTGTTGATAAAACATTAACGAAGGTGTGTCTTTCCTTTTCCTAATAATAACCTCTGCAAAACACTGTGACATTACTGAGCATTGCTACATTATTGACTGGTATAACAAACAAGTAAAGTAAATCGTGCTGAAAAAAGGTTTTGGACTACATGTTGACAGATTGTTAGCGTTTCGATAAACGTATTTGGTTAATATTAGGAAACAATTGTAGTCATGGCTCAAAAGAAGCTATTCATTTCATATTGAATATGGTAAGCACCTTGACTAATATATTTAAAAAGAACTTTATTCATACTTCATACTTCTAAAGACATTTCCTTAGTCTTTATGGTCTCTATGGAGATATGCGGTAATTGCATGTGGGTTTTTAGATCTCACTTTCCAAAGATCAAACCTGTTCTATTGCTTTTTCCTGAGAACGGCGCTACAGAAACCCAATTATTAATTATGCCGATTCTTTGACTTTGAGTCACCGTCAACGATAGAGACAGAACATTCTGAACATATACCACTGTACTTCTGCACTGCTCATTGTATTTCTGGCTGCCTGAGTGTATCACATGTGTCTCAGTGTGACGGCACCAACGGATTAAATTATGGAAGCCTGAGTCCATTTCCTGTGATAGCCCTCCAGTTGATGAGCTGGTGAAATGTCAATTAGCCCCCATCCACCTCCACACAGTATGCTCAGTTGCAGCGGGTCCAGAGCTAATCGCTCATCATCAGCCCCCTGGTACCTGTCTGGTTGGTGCAGGACAGTTGGGACAAGCACATACACACTCACACACAAACCTGAGTCAGAGGCCCACCTCTGGACTGCAGGTGTACATCAGCCTCTTCAGGGTGTCTGTGCAGTACAAAACAGAAGGTTGAAACTTGGAGGAACTGTCAGTAACAGTGTTTTCCGTCATTACTTGATGAATCAATATATATATAATGATATTTGTTTACATGTTGTTTGGTTTTGACAATTCGGTAAATACATATTGTTGAAATAAATGATTCTAAAAACATTCCCATTGAACATAATCTGAAGGATTGAAGAATTGCTGACATTCTGTGTGTTGGTATGATTACGCTCCGATGAACTAAAGGATGTCAGCCAACCATTAACTAGGCCGAAACACACGGTGCAACACTTTATCCAATATGTCTTCAACATTTTCATTTGGGATTAACTGCTCCAGTACAAAAAACAAAATGGGTTATTTTCACAGGTGCTATCTGGTCTCAGGATCCCCATACTATAGGGAAAAAGCTACGGAAATCTGACGTCTGTATATGGCAACACATAAAATTAAACACATACAAAACAACAGCTATGAAATTGTTCTCATTAATAGTTTATTTATATTTTACAGTTAATGTGGATTAAGCATTTAGTCATTGACTATTTTGGAAAACCAGAAAATCATCAAATACTGTTTTGCATATCAGGTTGCTGTCCGAGGGCAGATGGGGCACCTTAAGTATTTTCCTCAGAGGAAAAAAACCTCTTGCTTATAGTTAGGGCTGCCTTTATAACCACTCAATATTACCAATTCCCAATGGCGTTCGTGGTTGGGGAGACGCTGACTCTCATTTAGATTTATACATTTATAAGCACAAAGAATGCTGACTGGCAGGGAATGCTCTGATGGAAAATACAACACACCGTTATTATATGTCCTGAATTTCCTCACGGCCCACATGCTCAATATGTTACCTTACCATTACTTTTTATATCATCATTATCATTATTACGTGATAATAAAATCATTTTATTTTTGACTTTATGCCCCAGTTTATTTCCGCAGCCGGAGCCGAGACTTCAGAAACCTGGTCTGACATCTTGTGAGGAGTTTGAACCTGTGAACCATTTCAGTCCCTGCAGTAGCCCGTGGGAACATTGGTCACACCTCATTAATTCCCAGAGGCCTCGTGACGGAATTGGGTGGTGTATAAAGGAGGCACCTGGCCACGCACTAGGAAGCGCGAGACAGTGGAGCAGGGACGAACTCAGTCGCAAGCCAGCTGAACTTCACAGAAATTGTTGGAAAAATGAACGCAAAGCTGTTCATCTGCTGTTCATCTCTGCTGTTACTGGTGAACTATGTGGGAGCCAAACCCGCTTCTGATCTACAGGTAAAGAATTCACATGAAGACCCACGAATGATGTCATGCTTTGTGCTGCTCTCAATATTATAACATTATGGCTTTTATTCTCCTCCCCAGAGTTTGAACCAACTTCTACAAGATGAGATCCACAGCGCGCCGTTTTACGCCTCAGACGAGAAGGAGCTGCAGAGGAAGGATGCAGACACAGACAAGACGTGGGAGGAGCGGCCGTGGGACTCCTCCGACCCCAGCAACTCGGCACTGGAGGCGAGAGAAAGCATCCTGGCGCATCTCTTCAGAGACCTCGTGAGGACCTCAAAGCGCTCGTGGAGCCGGAACAAGAAGGGCAGGATGAGGAGCTGCTTCGGGGTCCGGCTGGAGAGGATCGGCTCCTTTAGCGGTCTGGGGTGCTGAAGGTAGGTGTTATTCAAATCATCTACGTAACATTTATTTTAAAGAATTGGAGGAAAAAGACAGCAACGTTGAGCTGGAGAACTCTCTCTTTTCATAATGTGAAGCAGAAGTAACTAACTAGTCCTGAATGAAGGAATGGATGACAATTTATTTTTACACTCCGCAGGTGTCCTGAAATAAAAGAATATATAAAAAGGTATTTATAGAATAAAAGAAATCTATAAGGGTATTTCAAGAGGAGTTCATGATTGTGCTGAAATGAAAACACATCAAACATGTCCATATTTAAGAAGAGGCACCGAGAGCCCGTCCATCACCGAGCATCAGCTGGCGCTTTAGGAGCTCTTTGCTCAGCAGCTGCAGCTTTGGCCAATGCAGATATCCAGATGTGAAAGAGTCAATAAGCTGGCTTGTCTTTGTCAACAGGTGTGGATGACTCGGGGTTCTCCCATCAGCAGCTCCTCTGACTCCTCCAGCCCGGCCCACGCTCCTCAGTCACTACTGTCATTTCTCTTTTCATATGCAAGCCGTTACATGATAAATTATTCCAAATGTATTTATTATTTTAATGTTGGATAAAGTACAGTTGCCTTGCATTGTAGTAAAATCTTCTTTTTGCATACTAACTGAGTGTGTGATTGAGTTTCTTTCTCCTCTGAGAGCAGTTTATACCTGTCAAATGCACGTCAAATAACCCGGCCACGCAGTGCTAAATGGGGAAGAATTTCATCGACCACTTCATCAGAAATTATATTTTGTAAAGAACGTGTTTGTTGAGGATACAGTGTTTCTCGTGATCAGGATCATTGTCTCATCTGGTTTGTGTTCTAACAGACCGAAGTGAACGTCACTGACTTCTATCACGTGGCTGGAATTATGAAAGCGTCTCTGCTGCAAAATGCACCAGATTGTCTTGATAAAGAACCATAATTAATGCAGGGCCTTATTCTCCACCCAAAAAAATGGTTTGGAGCGAAAAGGCTATTTGATATCACAGCTGTATTATACATAGTTGATGTTGAGTAGTTGATGTATTAGAACACAAATCAAGACAATTGCTGACATGTTATGGCTATTCCACCTTTCCCATAACATCAAACTCTGATGAAGAAAAGAGAAAACACACTGGCACGTGTTGGCCTCCATTGAGGTCAATTAATCACAGATCCATGCAGGCATTGAGTCCTCCCCGTATTTGTTGAAAATAAATACAATAACTGAAATAAATATACCAAATAGCAGTAGCCTGTCTTAAAAAGAGTGAAATTAAAAAAATAGGGCAGTTTTCATTCGAGTGAGACTGAAGTGAGGGGGCATGCTTTGACGTGGTCATGCTAGATGTGTGTAGATGAGCGTGTGACTGCCAGTTGACCCTGATTATACGTGCAGGGACACGACAGCTCGACAGCCGTGTAAAATCATTTGCACAATAACCACATTTTATTTTCAGCCACACTGTATCTCGTTAAACTCCAGAGATAAGAGGTGTTACATTTCTAAAGATTTACCAATGTGTCAAACAAATAATGTTACATTTTGTTAGCCTCGGGGAGCTGCAACAGAAGGCCAAAAGCCCCCCCCCCTCCCCTCCCCCGGTCTGGTGTAACATTAAATATGCAGATGTCAGCCCATAACAATAAAGGTTTAGAAACGTCATGTTGCAAATAACCAATTGAATTAAATTATGTCACAAGTATAATAAGTAATAAGGAGAAACACGTTTTCACAACAGCTTCATTCTCTCCTCTTAGACATGATGCAGTGGTGAAAAAGTTACAAGTACGCTACATTTAAAGTACTTTGATAATGTATTGTACTTTACCTTTCTTTATATTTGAATCCTTTAGATTCCGATCGTCTTCATACCAGAGGGAAATGTTCGCATGAGTTTGACTGTATGGGTTTGATTTGAATGACAGCAAAAGATGAGACCTGTGTTGCACAACTGTTCCCCACCACTGGACCACCTAACTGTGTCCTTTTGGCCCCTGAAAGCCCACATGTGTGCACCCAAGGGACCAAAACACCAGGTCAGAACTGAACCAGAACCAACTTTTTGGGTACTCATCGTGACAAATGAATGCTTCACCTGGTTGAAAGCATTAGAGTCCTGGCTACAATAAGCCACAATCCACTTAAAAATACTCCAAACACAACGGCCACTAATAAAATCATCTACTATAAAAATGTGTCCAAACATTGTGCGTAAGGTGGTGTACAACTTTGTCAGTCCTTCGATGCTAAAGGCTACCATGGTAAAAAACGTATATCAAACAGCATCAGGAGATCAGCCTGAATGATACATTGTGATACAGCTTATCTCAGACATGCCAAACTTTCAGTACAAAACCCAATAGGCCATCGCAGCGAATGAATCAGAAACATTTCCGAGCACCACATCAACAGAGCAAAGCGTGTCTCATCATGAACATAGACATGCATGCTTCCCCTTGTTTGGCAAGTTAGAGTCCTGGGTACAATAAGCTGTTATCCACTACTCAACGTTAGCCAATTTAGTAAGAGTAAAATAATATTTCATGGAATGTCATGGAAATTAGTCCAAAATTTTGCACAATTCTTCGATGCTAAATGCTAGGAGGACAAGCGACAGGAAAATCAGGAGATCGCGCTGAATCCGGGGATAGCTTTATCTTTTATTTCAGACTAACTGTGCCAAACTTACAGGACACCGAAGCAAAAAAAAAACATAAATATGTTTTACCTTTGCACTGAAGTAGTGAGAGGATAAAGTAGTCCAACCCATAACCGAGAACGGCTGCTACTATGTCAACGCATGAAATAAATCTTAATTAATCATTTTATTATTGATTCCATGAGTACTTTAAAATGATGATATTTTACATCCGTAAATGTTCTAATGCAGAAAAAGAGCTGTGTACTACTTCCACTCATGTACTTAGCTTGAGCAGTCTCTACTGTTTACGTTCATTTCACAAATAAACAAGGCCAAATCCCGAAGAGACACCCTGGCGGGTAACACTTTTGCTTTACTTTGACAGGTTGTTTGGTCAGCATCAAACAGGAAGCTTACTCCATCAACCACCATCTAGTGCAATATATTCTCTCTAAATGTGTCCGTCTGGCATTCTTGCAGGGGATGTACTGTGCAGTGAGTTTTTAATCAAACCGGGTGGACGTGCTGAGACCAATGCGGTCAAAGAAAAGCAGTGGCAGAGGATAAGGCACTCTCTGGGTGCAGAGGGGGTGACGCGTGGAGGATAATGTGTGTGCTCCACAAGGTTCTTGTTTCCCGCAATGGAGAGGTCAGAGGTCACATTTGGCCTCAGAGCAGCACCCTGAGAGCGTGTGAGGCACTTGCATCATTCTCAAGGACCCTTTGGTGGAGTGTTGGTCTGAGCTGTGGTCCTCCCACTGAAGGCCGATCTACACCCCACCACAATCACGTACACCACTCAATTTAGAAACACCGTCACACTGTCTGTGACTTTACTACTTCCCGTAGCTCGGTGACAACAATGTCTCCTACAGCGGGGGTTGGAGATTGTTGCTCAAACAAAGTAGCAAATGGTTGCAACGATGTCACACGAATGCCCAATATCTAAGACACAACGCTTTAAAAGGAGCAGTTTCCGACAGCCCCTGTTATCAGAATCAGGTGTCAGGAATGCCAGTCCAATTCCTGGCATACTTACATGTGTCCAGCCTATGTATAAAGGAGAAGAGGCTTCTGCTGTGGGCTCCAACATCCAAACAGCTCCCAGACAAAGACGCCAAACAGCATCCACTCATCAATCTAATTGATCCTAACAGGGACTCACAGAGAAACATGCATCTGTCTTCCATTCCTCTCTATTGCCTCCTCCTCATCTTAAAGCTGCAGCTGTCCAGCACGTATCCCATCACCGGCTTGACCGGAACTGACATGGACATCTTAAAGGTGAGTCTTCAGACGAGTGATACTGATAGCTGGGCTTGGAAAGTTGGAATTCTATGGCACATGCGTCCCTTGTACAAATCCGCTGCTGTGAAAACAAGCAAGCACTTTAAATTATTTTACAGCACACTGCTTGGATGATTTAATGGGACTCTTTGATGTGGTAAAATTGGTGCTTTAAGCAAATAACAACGAATGCAATTAGAATATGATAAATAACGGGTACTGCAGACATACAGTCTGACCATTAATAATGTTTATTTGGAGCATCCACTGCAGGATCTCACAGACTTCTCACAGTCCTAGCATCTGCTGCTGATGCATCCCCATGCTTAAAAGGGCAGAAATGTTTGAAGGCCCATGCTGTAAATGTAAACCAACACTGTCATACTTATTTTTTAAAGGCAAGAGCTAACTTAACTTGTGTGCATGTGGATGTTGTAGGTGCTCCTTCACAGACTAGAGGAGTCCGTTCCTGATGTGGACCAGAGAGTCTCTGCAGAGAGGGACAGCCTGGACAGAGACGAGGCGGCATACGAACAGCTGCCTCCCCAAACCGGACTGGATGAGGCAGCGATCAGGGAGTTTCTCTCATCGAAGAATCTGAAGAGCGTCCGCAACGACTCGTCCAGAAAGTCCTCCAGCTGCTTCGGCCGGCGGATGGACCGAATAGGCTCCATGAGCTCACTGGGGTGCAACACTGTGCGCAGATCTAGTGAGTTACAGTCACACGTAACCCTGTCTAATGTTTTTAGTAATGTGTTGATTGTCTTATTCTATAGTTCGGTCTAGTGTACAATACAATGGCCTCATACACATTTCTATTGTCGATTATGACATTGTCTTAATAACAAAGTTGTTTCTAACTTTCTTTTGCAGATCAAAAGTAAAGATGAAGTCGTATCTTCTAAATTCTGGAACTGCAACGTACCTTTTTTGTTCAAACGCTATTTATTTACTCGTATTTATTGAATATCGATGGTAGCTAAAAAGTATTATTTATTTACAATGGATGTAAGACTGTTCTTTATGTACAGTTGAACCTTTTAATAAATTCTTTCAACTATGGATTATTGTGTTTGCTGAAGATCAACAAACAGAGATGCACAAACAAGCACACACACACACACACACACAGATTATAAGGATTGTCATATAATGGAAATGGCCTCCAATGAGACATGCTAAATAAACTTGTACTTGTATGTGTCTCAAAGCGCTCTAACACTACCTGACATCATTCACACACTGATGACAGGGTCTAGCGTGCAAGGTGCCTCCGGCCCATCAATAACCAACATTCATGTCAGTCACACAGTTTCCATACGGCAGCAATTTGAATTGTCTTTCCCAAGGACACATAAAATTGTGGACTATTGGAGCCGGGGATCAAACTGCAAATCCTCTGATTGAAGGACGACCTGAACCTGCCCCATGGCGTGAGTCTGCTGTTGACAATAAATGAAAACCCTACCTCTGGTTTTCCATGGTTCTGTCCTTCTTAATGTAAACAAACGGAAAGCAACTCATTGATTCCCCTGGATGTTTTCAGCCCTGTTTCCTCCTGGCGTATTGCCTGGTGAATAAAGAGCAGCTCCTCTGTGCTACTTCTGACGGCTCATCATGCAGTCTAGACTTTGTGTGGACGGAAAGGACAACACTTTTGTCCACCACTTGGGATGTGTATTCCCAGTAAGACACTCTCAGAAAGCAGGATCACACCAATAACAGTGAAAAAAAGGTCCCCTCTGATCTTATGACGACTGTAGAAGAATGTATAATAATCTAAATCTAAATCTATTAAAACATATATAGTAAAACAAACATATATGTTGTATATACCGACTACTACAGTGTGTGTATTTATATATATATATATCAACCAACACCAGTTCCTGTGATTCTTTTGTCACTTTGAACAGCTATGGTAACTCTTACTTTGAATTTCTTACTGAGGACCCTGAGAACGTAAGGGTGAACCTCTCCATCTCAATCTTATCAAGAAAGAAAAGAAAAAGTAGCTTATTTAAAAAAATAAAAATTTTTTTTTAATATTCGACATTGTCTACTCCAAATTCGTCTTTCCTGAGTTGTGTGGAAAAGGCACAAAAAATGTTCCGGTGTTATTCAAAAGTGAACCAACCAAAAGTGAGCATAACTGATATGCCGTTTTACGTTAGCTAAAAGATTTCAATTCATTTGAATTCAATTCATTTATTAGAGCCCAAAATAACAAATACCCAAATTTGCGTCACCTGGGCTGTACGATTTGTACACATCAGGCCGGAGCAGCAGTTTAAGCCTACTATGGTACTTCTCAGACTGAGGACTGTAGACAGTGTGAAGTATTTGCATGGTGAATGCTGCATTCCGGTCAATGCATGCCACGTCTGAGCTCACAGCTCCAAGATGGCTCCTGAGGTCATGCCACTGGTGGCTGGTAACCGTGATGATACACAGACACACATACTGTACACACAAACACACACACACACACACAACACCTACCCCCAAGCACCACTTAAAGGAACATCTGACCAGCTGCTTTATCATGCTGAGGTGTCAGAATGCACTTGAGAGGATTTATAAAATGATCCGCCACTGACACTGTCTGTTGCGTGCTGAGTGTGTGTGGGTACGTGTGTTGTTGTCTAAATAAAATGGGGCAGTGCAGGCGACAGTAGCAGCAGTTGCAGCTGAGGGATAACATGAGGACTGCGGTCCTGTGGGGCCTGCTGGCCCTGCTGTGCCAGCACACACTGGTAAGCAGCCACGTACTGGGAAGGCCCTCTTCTACCGGGGAGCTGGCTCAGATCAAGGTGAGCAACCTTTGTTGATGAGTGTTGTTGGTTAACGACCATGTTCTCCACAGTTGGTCCAAAAACGCTGCGCCACTACTGTTACCAATGTTAATGGTAAATGATGACAACGACAGTAATGAGTCAAACTAGTCAGGCAGGTCTTTTGCCTTTGCCTCTTGTAACTTTTAGAATGAATTCTAACTTTGCTCTTATAGTAGGATGAAAACAACATAACAAAGTTCTCGTGGACAGGACGGGAATAAAACAACAGTAAACCTCATTCTCAATTTGAAGTTGCAGTTGTAGTTGAAGTCCTCTTCTGTTTTATCCGCTGCTCTCTCTTAAGACGCTTCATACTCACTATTTATTTGTTACGTCTGTTTCCTTTGCTGTTTGTCACATTCTTTTCAATTCAGCAACGATTCCACCTGTGCTTAATGAAAAATGTATTTGCAATACTGAGTTCTTTCCACTGAGTTGTTCTTTTTATTGTGTAAAAATCTATCTCCTTGGGTCGGGTCAACCTAAAGGTCTGAATCGTGTCAGAGTGCTTGGCCAACAAGCCTAGTTTATGCCTCCGATCAACGTGTTCTTCAAACTACTTTGTTTCTAACAGCCTTAAACAACACCGTCCCCCATATAACTACAAACGCCAACCTGAAGTCACAGGTTCCCTTGAAGGCTTACTGTTTTCTATCAACATTTGCTTCCGTAGTCTTTTTTAACGTACCCAATAGAATGTAACCATCCTCCACTCTCCACACCAGTCTCTACTGGAACGCTTTGAGGACACTCTGGCTGACGTGGCCCAGGAGGAGGACTCTGAAGCTGATTACGAAGGGACAAACCAGCAGCCTGAGAACGGCCAGGCCAGCAGGGGATGGAACCTGGACCAGGAGGGGGACCAAGGACCCTTAATGTCAGAAAAATCGCAATTATCAGCTGAGGGTCCCAGTGCATCCCAGACTCAGAGGAGGCGACTGCAGGACCTGCTGTTGACTGCCAGGAAAAGAGCCTCCGGCTGCTTTGGAGCCAGGATGGACCGGATAGGAAATGCTAGCGGTCTGGGATGCAACAATGGAAGAGGTGAGACTGCAGCAGGAAACCCAGTTAGGATTCAGATCAAGGATTCTGAAGCAAAGGAGTCAAAGGCTCGTGTGGTTAGTTGAACATTTTTTGGAAGATACCAAAAATAAGAAATAATTGTATGATTGACATGTAGTCATAAAAATATTGTTGTTAATGGTGCCCAGATTATTTTAGGAGATTCTGGTTATGTTCTTATAATCACATTGAAAAGACGTCCTGTTTTTCATCAAGTAGATGTACACATCATGTAACTCTCCCAGAAACGCATTATTTCATTTTCATTTTTATATACATATTAAACATGTTATCGTGAGCTTTAGATGTTGGTAGATTGATGTCCGGATAGAACCTGACTTGCTGTTTGCCCCAGGCATCCACTCATTATGCTAAGCTAGGCTAACCATCCACCCTCTGTAATCAACACAGATGTGAGATAGAGGTGATAAATGTAATCTTATTGTGGGGTTTAATGCACCCTGCAGTTCGCTATCAGGGAATACGTGTGAAAGATATTTATAACAAATACATATATAATAAAACAATTCTTTCTTTTTTGTGTTGTCTTCCCTTCAGGGTAGTTGGACAATTACCCAGGACACTGGTTGGATTAAAGTTTGATCTCCGACGGGACACAACCAAAGAAATGTCACATGTATGATTTTGCAGTAGTCACAGTGGAGTATGTACGTTTGTATGTTTTTCTCTGTTTGAAGTCACAAATGGGTTCCTTGTTCACTATGTAATGAGTTTTAAAAAGTCCATTATACACTGAGGACACCCTAAAAGAGAGTTAACTACTTAAGTGTAGGTGGTTGCTAACGAATAAACCAATGAATACACTTTTTTCATATGTATGAAGGGTTTGTTTTGTTAGCCTCCACCATTTGGTAATGCAGAAACTCAACATTGCCTAAAAAAGTAAAAATAAAGACATTGTAAATCCACGATTGTGCCAAGTCATTAAATACATTTTAATTAAATTGTAATCTTAAATGTGTATTTGAAATTATTTTTAGTATGACTTGACTGACTTTAAATCTACGATTTGGCACGATATTTAACCCCTCGCGGTGGCACTGGGTAAAAAGTCACAGGATCACCAAAGTAATTAGAGTATATTCTCTGAGAAGCAAAGATATATTGAAAACATTCAGGACAATCCATTCGTGATTTGTTAAGATATTTCCGTGTGGAACCAAGTGGTGGATGTACTTGCTAGTGTTTCTAAATAAATGAAGTTATTACGTATGAGATAAAAGGTAAACTATTATTACCTCTTTACAATGTTTACCATTTAAACCACGTCTCTCACCAAAAGCATGCAGGGTGATTAGGAACAGAAAATGGATTTCATGTCATGCTTCTAACTTGCTGTCAAACCCATAGATTGTTGAGAGAGAGAGGAAGTGATCACTTGGGGATCATGGCTGTGATTCACCATTAACTAATGTAGTCTAAATGCATTTGACAGGCAGTAAGAAGGAGATGTCACTGTGGGTTATGACAACGTCATTGACAGACTGTTCTGTCCAGTGGCATTAAGGAAATAACAGGGATCAATTAGAGCATTTCACCTGGTGGCAGCAACCACCCACACGGATGCCACAGTAAAGCAATTCAAACGGACCTTGCTTCCGTTGATGCCTTTGGAAATGTCCAGAGCTGAAGAGGTGAAGGCTGCTGATAATAGCTGCATTCTTTCCACCTGGACCTCACTGACCGGCTGCTCACAGGGGTCCCTGAACAAAATGACCTTATTGCTTGGGACTGGATCTATCACAGTGGCTCACGCTCTCTTGAGTAAGTCTGAACCTGAACAAGATTGTACAATTGTCATTCATGTTGCAAAAAAGGTTCTGTAAATACCTTGAACAAAGCCGTCATTTATAAAACCAAAACCCAGCTATGGCGAGAGCATTTGAAACATTTTCTTTATCTCAGAGCACCCTCATGTGGAGACTTGCATATTCATTTTAATATCTGGATTGGGCATCGATACATTAAATGACATTTAAAATTATATAATATCATTCAACAATGACATTTCCCCCAAGATAACAAGTTTATTTCACAACGTCATGGCAGTGACAGTTACTTGTGTCAAAGTAAAAAAAGTTTTAACATTCATATTTAATATTCATATATATATATATATATATATATATACAAAATCTATTAATATATTATTACGGTGCATTACGATGTCGCAGAGGTGAAATATAAATGTAATGTACCGTAAACAAAATATTTTATACAAATTCAAATAAATTAAATAGAAAGGATGTTTTTTAAATGAAATAAAACAAATATAATTAAATGAGATTTAATTCAAACACATTGATTAAATGGACTCAAACGCATGTGAAAGTTGTCTTTGGTAGTGAAACTATAGAGATTAATCAGCCAAATCTGCATTGGGAAAAGAATCATCATTTTAGTTTAGTTTTAGCTTTCTTTGTACACTGCAGACCGTCTGAGGACGTTGTAACCGTCTCCTGGGAACAGTTCTGAGTAGGATCAGGTCTGCATGGGTTGTGGTCTTCACTAGAAAGTATCATAAAAAATCACAAATGGAATAGATAAAATAATCAAGTGTTGTGACCTCCAATTTACTGTGTACAAAGTCTGTATCATCAACACAATTTGCATTCAATTTCCCAATAAATCTTTAAACCTCAGCAACACTGATACTTACATCTGACTGTAGTCTTATATTAGAGATTATATTAGGTAGATGCACACAAGCAAGCAAATTAACAAATTATTTATTAATTTAAAGGAAACGTATAGGAGTGTGTGTGAATTCAGTCATTTTCATATAAATCAAATCCTCCAGCAACCAGCATCTTCTGGACCAGGGACTGGTTTCATGATGGACAATCTTTAAAAAAATAAATAATAATAAAAAATAAATAAAATGAAAATAATATACAAGTTATTTATTCTTCAGACCCGGTGCCAACTGGCCCGCGGACCGGTACCGGTCCGCAGTTCGGCGGCACTGTTCTGGACCACAGGACGGAAAAGGGCTCAATGGCGCCATCTGGCGTTCGTAACCAAATGAACGTGGTCGATCTTGTGAGCCTGCACCCTGATCTGAAAGGAACCAAAAGTATCCGGAACGGGCGGCGGAGGGACGCTGTGAGGGCTCAGCTGCGATAAACATACACCTGAATACACGAACACGTGGTATGAATGAACACGTGGTACACACTGAGCGGAAGGCGGCAGGATCAAACGCCCCCGCTGCGCTCCCGGCGCGACGTGACGCTCCGGCTCGTGCTCCCGTCATAGCGGGACCGAGAGAGGAAGAGGAAGAGGAGGAGGAGGGGGTTCCTCGGGGAAGTCTGAGTCAAACCAAACCATATTTTTTAAAGCGGTGAACTACTGGAGTTTTGTAATAACTCGGCCTGGATTCTAATATTCTGTCTTTTGACTATTAATAAAGTGGGTGATGACTCCCAGTCGGGCAGCACACTGAGGGGGTGAGTGGAGACCCTCAGTCGGTTCATCATAGCTGAGTACAGCGAAGACGCTCTCCTGGTGTAATAATGTGAATATATAGTTCATAATGCAAGAAAGACATCATTATTTAGGCCACCTTAGAACTAGACTAAGCGAATCAAATAGAAACGCGGAACAAACGGGTTTAAAATGTGTCCTCACATATTTGACAACAGCAGGTCATGTGACATGTTTCCCCTTGTCATCATGGCAAAATGTGGCCCTGGAGACTTTGTATTGAGTAACGATTTTACACGTCTGTTGCTTCAGGTCTGCATGATTATGTCTTTGAAAATGTTTTGACAAGTCTGTTTTCTCAGTAAACCCTTCAGGTTGTTTCCGACGGCCACAGCGGAGGGCACAAAGGGGGTTGGGGGGGTCATCCTTCGGGCTATGGGCGGGTTGCAACGGTTCTTCAGTGCAGCACAGGTCTCAGCAGCCAGTAGAGATAACTGAAGTCTATAAAAACAGGTTTTATTGCATTCGTGACGTTATGTTTAATCATTGTGTCTAAAGCTAAACGTTCTGATTAGTTAACAAGAACCACTTCATTCAACAGATTTGGACTCATATCTTTTTGAACATAACAACATGTTCAAGTAAAAGATAAAGAGTGGAGTAGGAAGAATGCCAGTGGCATGCAGCAGTATATTACTGTCATCATAACATTTTTTAATATGTGTGCTTCTTTTCATCAAGTGGTGCTGAAGAACTGATGAATTGCGTGTTGTCCACAGTATAACAGTGAATTCAAACACTTGCAGGTGAACATACTGTAGATATCCTCATATTTTCTTTGGGGGATATGATGACTAATCGTTCGTATGCTTCGAGTCAGGCAGACAGGTCTCCAAAATCCTCAATCCTACATAACACTCTCCCTCTTGTTGAAAATGTATTACCACAATTTGTACCAGGAAAAGGTTTCGAGTCAATGCGGAGATAAACCTAAAGCCATCGCCAGTGGAAAATTTAGATTGTATCATGACTCCATCGTATTTCATGTTTCACAATGGCACTTCCTCTGCCATGACATCCGGCAACACGGGAAACAGATCTGAGCCAAACATCGGGTCTGCACCAATTGCATTGCCTGACTCCCAATCTCCTGCTGGAGAGGGGAAGGGAGCCACCGGCCCCGTGGCCATACGCTGTGGAACAAGAAGCCATACGCTCCTGAGACAACCTTGACATAAAACCTCCTGTCGCAAGTTACTTAACGGAGGAAACGCTACTCAGCTTATAGCTTCTTGCATAATCTGTTCCTGTAGGGAAATGCAGCTCTGCAGGTCTAATTTCACATTTTATTTTCATTTTTTTTTCACACTGTTGCTTTTCATCAAGGACACATTTGTCCCGTATTTTTCCTCCACAACTAACCCTAACCCCCTGGCAAGACCGGCAAACAGACGTTTGCGGAGATCTCCCTCCATGAATCGGAGAACATCCGCGCGTCCTTATGCCAATGACGGGTTGTGTAAGTGGTCATATTTACAGATTTACAGATTTTTTCCCACAAAAGTTCAAGTTCTTCATACTTTGTTTTAATAATGGAGGTATTGTGCTTTGAAAACGGAAATGTGAGACTCTGTAAAGGATGTAGTTAGCGGACTAATCACAGCCTTGCGGGCTGCAGGAGGCTTGCGTGGCTTTTGAAGTCTAGAAAAATGGGTCGATCCACGCAAGGAGGTGTGAAAAGACACGCAAGGGGCTCTTGCGTCTACGTTTCCTTCCTGCGTCTCTCTAAAAACGCAGAATCATAAACTAGGCTTAACATTGCTGCTGTCACCACCGGGTCAGTCCCAGTCTCCGATTTCCCCGGATCCCGCAATGTTAAGCCAAATGCACAGTGTCAGACACAGTGAGAGACAAGCTGGCGAACTCAGCAGTGCATGTAGCAGATTATATGATAAATGGTTTTGTCAGCAGTTGATGGTGACCAAAGAAAACTCTAAAAGAGTAATATAAATATATATATATATATATATAAAATATCTGAATGTGGAGTCAAAATAAATCCCTTAATTAGTGAGTATTGATCTTAAACTTTCCTTGTTGGTCCAACTCAACCCTCGGCCCCCCTCGTCCCCCCGGTGGGCCGACAGAGGACTGTACAGAGTGGATGAAATGAGGAAGCGAAGTATTTCTGACAATGTCTCGTCAGTCACCACTTCTGTGTTCTGCTTCTGTTACTCCGCCAGCGGACTTTCCCCGCTTAGCTCATGTGTTTGTGCTTTGATAAACTATAACACAGTGTTATAGCTTTCGGTGTGGAGATGTTATGAATTAATGCTTGGAGGGAAAAATCTATTGTCTGAATAGAAGAGACTCAATGACATTTGAGGTATGTGTCTCCTCTTCTCAGTCTTTAACTAAAAAAAACTGAAATTATTGAATCACAAATCTCTCTGTATACGGATGGAGTCTTACTTTTATTCAAATGTTGTTTAAAGGCTTTATACTACTTGGCAACAATCATATTTGGCTGTGAATTGTTGAGTCAGCATTGGACAGAGTCTGGTCATCAGCCTGTAATGTTGGTCCCCACTGCGGGTCGTTGGGAAGAAAAGATGAGTGTAAATGTCAAATATGTACAACTGTTAATCATGTAATGTATTATTTTAGCATCCACGACTGTTCTCCTGTTCGCCCATCGGTCTGGATCCCCCCTCTTTACGATAAGAGGGACCCATCTGAGCTCGCTCATCCACGGCATGCAGGGAAAGCACAGCAACCCCAACACAACCCGTTACATGTGACTAGACATCTTTGTGTCCCAGTAGTTGTAGTAGTCTCCATGAGGTTTTAGTCTTTGCGAACTCCTCGCCTCAGCACTTGGTGCAGCTTTAGTTTGCCTGGTGTTCTGATCGTGGACCCGTGTTTTTTTTGCTCTGCTGTCTGCTGTTGGACTCCCAGCTGCCTGCGGATGTGCTGAGGCTGAAGCAGCGCTGTGCCAGGAAAGAGCTGGCAGCGCGTCTCACTGCACCTCGTGTTGCCCAACGCAGACACAGTTCTGACAGCAAGGTAGGAGTGTGGATGTCCAGTCTGTTGGGGGAGGAATGACCTGTTGTGCTTGGGATTAACCAACTATGTGATACAATTAAGGGCTGATAAAAACCAAGATCATTACATTTATTCCGTAAAATTGCATTTCTTACTTGGTGACTTCTCTACTGTGTTATGCAGGTGCAGCAGTTGAAGAAAGCAGCAAGAAGTGGTACCAGGGGCGGTTTAGAAAAGACAAAGTTAGCCATGATTCGCAAAGTGTCATTCCTGCAGAGAAAAGATTCCGCAGGTGCAGAAACTGATGAACTAGCTCACCTAATGGGTTCAGTTTATAGATACCAGCTTTGTTGTTTTTTTTTCCATCAAGAATGCAGAAGGCATCGATTATATATATACTTATTTATCTGTTTGTTACAGATGTACATATAACTCATAAAGGGGTTGTGTTTTATTTCCCAGCTGGGGTAAAAGATGATGCGGGTTACCTGGATGTGGCTTTGTGTGAGTTGAAGCACCCTCCACCACAACTGTGCCCAATGCCAGAGGGGCTCAGCAGTCAGCAGGTGCAAATTCCAATACTACTGCCCCCTCCCACCAATTGCTTCTAATTTGCGTTTTTCTCAATTGTTAATGACGGAATCATTACACAAAATGACACAGCAGTATACAGGGCTTGTGTTTGACTACAGAAAGTGCTCAAATGTATCTGATTTTGTTGTGAAAATACTGGAATAATGAGACTGGGATTATACTGCATGATTTGTGTGACTAGTTTCGCCCATTTACGTTGGTTTGGTTTTTAACCAGGTCTTTATTTATTTTTATCAAATTATATTTACAGCCTACAATGTTGTATATTGGAACAACCTCTACCCAGTAATGTTTTTTTGATTCGCTGATGGGAATGTTTGAGTTTCTCACTTCCTCCTTCAGGTGGTCAGACGTCTCATCCTCAGCTCCATTGTGCAGAGTGAGAGCAGCTACCTGGACTCTCTCAACAGAATCCTCCAGGTGAGTCACGTCCTTGCTCAGGTAACGAGTAGCTGTTACTATGGGAGACAGTGGGAAGGCTTTGCAGTAGTGTCGAGAAGACCCTTACACCAGAGCAGCAGTGCTCACTGAGCTCTTCTGTGGCTCTTCACTTACCACCATCTACTACCATCTTCCTTAAAGATCCTGACCTGCCAAATTAAGTTTTTATCAACCTATCAAGAAATGATTACGGTTGTCAAAGTGCAGAATACACACTGTGATCCCCAGCACACAGTGAACTGAATAACCCTGCTGATAAAAAAGCCAGACAGAAAAGAGATTGCTGTGGGAGCGGCGTATTCCTGGTAAAAGGGGATAAAGATACGGATCTGCAGTTGGCCAAGCTGAGCCTTTCTTTGTCTGTCAGGAATACCAGAGGCCTTTGTTGGAGTCGCAGAACGGGATCCTAAAGCCCAAGGAGGTGCGGGAAATCTTTTATCGTCTGCAGGAGATCCATCAGTGCCACTTCATGTTCCAGATCGCCTTGGCGTCCCGCGTGACTGAGTGGGATCACAGCGAGACCATCGGAGACCTGTTCGTCGCCTCGGTTAGTTACCTTTGCTTCACTGGCTCCTTCTTTGTTTCCCTCCTTCACTCTGGCTTCAGGCTCAACTCCCCTGTTAGTTACATATGCTAATAAATGTGTTTGTGTGTGAGACATGATTATCATACAGCTGTTTACACAGGCCGAGTGGTTCTCAGTGAACTCATCTTCATGTTTAGTGGCCCTTTCACTATGCAGAGTTATCTTTATTTAGAGCATGCTGGGACTGTCTGACCCTGAGACAAAAAATGCTGGTTTCAGAATAAAGCTTTACATTCGAAACGGAATCAGAAATGTGATCAGTCACAAAGCCTTTAAACCAAACCCGCATTTTTTAGTTTCTAGATAACTGGTTTATTATTTCATACGCTTTTCCCTCAACGTCAGCCTGTCATATTTGTTATCTCTGAAATCTAGGCTGGAATTGTCTTTCATTACTGGGCCAGCAGAAGGTCAGGTGAAAAATAGAGGTGAAATGTTGAATGAAACAGCAGTGGTGTGATATGAATGTGTGACCGTTGTTATACAGTTGATCCCGAGTCTCAAGTCACGCTCTGTCCTCCACAGTTCTCTAAGTCCATGGTGCAGGAGGTGTACAGTGACTACATCAACAACTTCACCAACGCCATAACACTGATCAAGAAGGCCTGCACGTCTAAACCTGCTTTCCTGGACTTTCTAAAGGTGCTCACTCATTGTGTTTTAAACCATAGTTGAGTTATTGAGTCCATCATTGTCATTGACAACACGTCAAATGTCATACATTTAGTAAAGGTAGTGTTAAGGTTTCTCTGGATGACTTTGTGCTGGGAGTTTCTATTTTGAAGCTTGAAGTATTGAAGCTCAACACCAAGGCAATAAAAGAGCAAACAATGTTTAAAGGGGTAGGTGTGGTGGTCCGAGGGTCTTCTCAATAGTCTGTGCATTACAGTAGTTGGAGTTCCGAGCCACAGACAGGAGAAGCAGCAATAGCGCAAAGTAACGTAGAGACGGCTAAAACCATTTGCACCGTTTGTAAAACCATTTGTAAGTAGTTTGTTTCTCCAACACAAGCCAATCTGTTCTGAACAGCATGTTTTCATTAAGGACCGTGGAAAGGAGTATACTTCGATATTAGATTTAATGATATGCAATCCTTGTTTTATTTTAAGATAAACGCTATTCCTGTACTTGACTTTCAGAACAAGCAGTCGTCCAGTCCAGACAGAATCACTCTGTACGGCCTGATGGTCAAACCCATCCAACGCTTTCCTCAGTTCATTCTGCTGCTCCAGGTGAGTCACCCACTCTCTGATCGATGTAATCACATCAGCCCTTGAGTTGAAATGAGCTACAACCTGGTAAACATGACTTGGGTCGATGGTGGCGCAATGGGGTAGAGAGGATGCGCCGGGAACCGCAGGGTTGGCGGTTCGAACCCCGGCTGCTCCATGTCCCATGTCGAAGTGTCCCTGGGCAAGACACCTAATCCCTAATTGCTCCCTGGGCACAATGTAAAAACCATGGGTTAAAAATGCAATGTAAGACGCTTTGGATAAAAGTGTCAGCTAAATGACCTGTAATGTAATGTCATTTGGGGTCATCTGGACCTTCGGGATTTCTTGATAAATATCTTTCCTTGATGTACAAATAGTGTTTCAACCCCTTGTGGTGACCATATTTCCACATCATAAGTTGGTTATGTAGCCAATCGGCGTTATCCAGCATGAGTAGGGAATCTCAGAAAGGGGTGGCGTTTAGTGTGCAGTCAACTGGAGTACCTTGTTTCACTGCCGGGCCTGAAGTTTGTCACAAAGAGGAAGTGAGAGACAAGCATGATTTGGTTCTAATTCTGCTGCCCTTAAATAAATCATTGCAGGATCTAATACAACTCTTTGGAGTTTTGACATATTGGATATTGATACCCTTTGTTGTTTTAAAATAAGGGATTTTATTGGCTCAGTTCCTCAATGTGTCCTTGGGCAGATGTGCCCTTGCATGGTAGCTCCTGTCATCAATGTATGAATGAGGACTGTACTGTTAAAGGGCTTTAAGTGACCATATAACCATATAAGGATGAAGATCATGACAGCCCCTGCCCAACCACTCCCGGTTAACACAGTGCTGCATTGCTGTCGGTGTTACGTTGTATTAGGACATGTTGAAGAACACTCCAAAGACCCACATGGACCGGCTGCCCCTGCAGCTGGCTCTCACAGCGCTGGAGAGCCTGGCAGAGAAGCTCAACGAACAGAAGCGCCAGGCGGATCAGGAGGCTGAGATCCGGCAGTTGGCCCGCAGTGTGGGGGACCGCAACCTCAACAAGGTGGCGCACCATGCATTGTAACACACATGCACAAGCTGCAGATGTAACCTATGGGTCGGTCATCTCTTATCAACTGACTTTGTTATCATGTTATGATTCACAAAGCGCGTTAAAGTATTCAGCATCTTCTGTTGGTGTCAGACAGTAGATGGAATGGCCAACATTAAATCTGTCCTATCTGTCCTATAAATATAATGCCTGGAGGTTCTTCTCTGTGGTCAGTGTATTACTACAGTAGTTCAAAGACACAGACAAGAGAATCAAGTAATGTACTGCTGAGTGAGTCAAAGAGCGCCTCTCTAACAGCAAGATAAAGCAATGAAAACTAATATCGATCTGTTTAGGTTTGAAAAATGTTATTGTATCCTATTTATTACTTGGGATGTTCCCCATGTACTACATAATACTAGGGGCACATTTGTGTTACTACAAAAACACAAACCATCCCGTCTTCAGTTGATTTATTTTGGCAATGTGACCATGCCAGAGCATAGGAAACACCGGCATGGGACAAAAAGTCACAAAAAGCCTTTTACTAATCAACGTCCACTGTGTACTTTTGGGGATTGTACTTGGGTCAAAGAATATGCTGACTGATACTGAGTGTAGGTAAGGGTCTACGTCTACTTTTCAGTAAACTGCTTTGTGCTTCCAGCGGCTGAACTCGGAGCAGCGGCAGCTGATTCAGTGTGAACTGCTCACTGAAATTGTTTATGGTAATAAAGGTCAAGTTATCAAGATGAAGGAGCGGAAGGTCTTCCTCCTCAACGACATCCTGATCTGTGCCAATGTTGACCTGAAGTAAGTACCCTGAGGCTGCTGCTTTACATCCACTATCTCTCCTGAAATCTCCCTCACAGTTGATTCTTTTCCTGTTTTACTTTGTGGTTCTTAAAATACAAATGTAGTTCATAGCTGTTGCGATTAAGCTTCATGCTGGAGAGCAGGATGAGTTTATTGACTACTAACCCTGTTTGCAGTGAGTCTGTTCTCAAGAGGTTACCGGGTTTCCGCTCTGTTGACGCTGAACCAAACCCAGGTGATGTCGAGGCGAGTGGGGACCAGAGGAGACGGGTTGATATAGACATAGTAAACATTTCAAATTTGTTTGTCCACCAGGGGTCCCCCCAACATCAGCGGCCTGGTTCCTGTTGGTCCCAAGTACACGGTGAAGTGGTGCAGCCCCCTGCTGCAGACTCAGGTGGTGGAGGTGGGACAGGACAGGCAGCAGAGAAGCGACAGTGTCATCACAGCTAGACGCCGCAGCCCAACCCACAGCACCACTGGTACATCCATTGCTCCACACCCACCACACACTGACTTTAAAATATATATATATAATACATATCTATACTGTATATCATCATGTGTTCTGATCTTGTTTTTTTATACGTCTGTGTGGAAATTAACGTTTGCTGCTGTAATCCTGTACATTTTCCTGCTGTGGGAGTATTTAAGGATCATCTTAACTTATTTATGTCTGCATTAGATTCATAGTAATAGACTTTAAAGCAATTTAATTATAACCTAATTCGTACATTATTACATATTATAATACGGGTTGATGAAATCCAGCGTTCTGATTGGCTGAGAGTGAGTCACGGGGTGTACATTATTGAAACATAATTTACAGTAGCTGCGTGAGTGACAAATAACTGTGTTCCCCTTTTGTACACTGGGTGGCGCTCCACTAAACACTAATTAGCACGGGTATTTAGGTTGTGGATTCACGGTGTTTGTCAGGTGTTTGACCGCGGAAGGGCAAAGGGTTTTGACCGCTAAACCGGATGATTATATTAACAGGAACTGTTGCATGTCAAAATTGGAATAAATAAATAAGATTCTAAATCGTAACAGTGGATTCGATCTAATGTTTCCCACACAACATTGCGAAACAACAGCAACAGGCAGAGAGGACTCATCAATGGCGGATCATCCACCTTATTCCGGAGGTAGATACACCTCAGTAGCTCATCAAAAGTTGACTGTGCTCCTTTAACAAGCTGTTTACATTGACCTGAGCGTTCCATATCACTGCGCACTCAAAATAACAGTTAACAGCGAACGTCGTGTCAGTTTTTAGCTCGGTAACGATCGCTGAAAAAAGGCCGATCTTGTTTTTTTGTTGCTGTTGTTTGCGCATCTGGCCTAATAAAACCCTCGAACTGTTACTTAATTAGACGATAAAGTACAGCCTCTCGTATCTCATTACATTACACATAGTTACATGTGTACTGATCACAGAATGGAGCATCTTAATTCTGCGTCTCAGTGAAGAGGGATTTCCTCATAGTGAAGTCTTGTACATTTCATGTTCATTTCTGTCACATGGGTTCTAATTCTGTTCAGGTGCTGAATGTTCCTCCCTGTGTCTCAGGTAAAGTGTTCCTGGGTCCTCCCAGACTGTACCAGGAGCTGCAGGAGCTGCAGCATGACCTGGCTGTGGTGGAGGAGGTCTCACTGCTGGTGGGCACGCTTCACGGGACCTACCAGGTACCCACACTTAGCAATGACGCTAAGGGCACATCGTAAAACACGTATTGTTCTTTTGACTTTTATTATATTATGTTATGTTTTGTGGTTTTTGTGTTACTCTCTTTTCTTCCTTGTAACTTTTGGTGTAGTGATATAAATGAAACACATGTATTAAAACTTATAGGAATACATGATAAATCCATTAATTTGTTTCTGGATCTCACCAGGTTCAATGGTGGATAGAAATGATGGCCCGCACTACCAAATCAGATCCACTTTGTATGAAAGTACAGTCTAAAAAGATAGAGATCTCTTCTTCTATCTCTCTCGGAGGAAGCTTATGAAGTAGAAGATGATCTAACTGGGCTCTTCTTTTTTTTTCTCCAAGAATCTAAATTCCACAGTGTCTCAGGACTGGTGTCTGGCTCTGCAGAGGCTGATGCGGCTGAAGGAGGAGGAGATCCAGAAGGCCAACAAGTGTCGCCTGCGTCTGTCTATACCAGGCAAACCTGACAAGTGAGTGACTGTCCGGAGGTTGATGAGGGATGAGCTCAGAGCAGGGACGGCTCAGCTGTAATTCGGTTTGAGTACAGTAGTATTAACATGGATTGCAAAGTATTTGTGCTTTCATGCCCACTACACGTTCTGTTCCCAGATCTGGTCGTCCAGTGAACATCATTGTTGTCTTCAACACTCCCAGCCCCCTCAGTAAGATAACATGGGTGAACCGGCTTCATCTCGCCAAGATAGCCCACAGTAAGGTCAACACTGAGTGTGTGTCTGTGTGTGTGGATGGAATTTCTGGACAATTTTAAGTCCCCCTATCGAACATGTTACTGAATTCAATTAATTTTATTTTGTATAGCCCAAAATTGCAAATTACAAATTTGCCTATGAGGACTTTACAGTTTGTACATATGCAAACTATCCGGTCCTGAAACCCTCACATCGGCACAGGAAAAATTTGATTGGGAGAAAACAGCCCAAAAAGCCATTACGGAGCCTTTTACACGTTGATGAAAGCCTTCGGACATTGCTGATGCTTCAACCATGAATATTTTGAGTTTGTGAAACATTGTCAACCTATTGTTTGCCATGATTTTCTAGTGGCTTTTGGGATGCTGAGAAACTCTTTTGAGGATGCAAATACATATGTTTTGGAATGAATCCTGTAATCAATTAATAATAATTAATACAACTTGTTTTTGATGTTCCGGGGTTCGCCGACGCCATCACACCAACGGGGAGTCTCCCTTACACGCACAGATCGGTTTGGTTTAGGAGGGGGGGGGGGGCGGCTTAAAGAAACAGGCGGCAAAGCGGAACAGAAGGTGAAAACAGGAATATTCACAATGACAATACGAGAAAAACAATATGCAAAAGATGTGGAGGTGGAAAGCCTTAATAGAGGTCTTAAAATGAGCATGATACTGTATGTCTCCTTTAAGAGAATGGAGGTGGCTGAAAAGCTCCCCCACCTTTGGCACAAACTCTGGGTTGGACCTTGTGAGCCCTGTTGCAAACTGCAAGCAGGAAGGTCGAATTGATAAAGGCCTTAATGCTTTGCTCAGGTTAAACCATGGGCTTGATAGGCTCAAATGGCTGTTGAGAGAGAGCCGTCGCCACAAACCAACAGATCCCACAGAGGAACCTGGAAAGGGAGCTAACCGCTAGCGGGCAAAGAGGTCTGCCAAACTGGTTTCACCACCTGCGGGTCCACTCTCTGTACACAGGGTTTCTTCAAGACAGAAAATCTGTTCAACATGCCTGGAACATGTGTTGCTTAAAGTGACAGGCTCCAGGTTCCTGCTCCACACAATTATCTTGGTCAACCCGTGCAGCTGCAGTGAGTGATTGGCGCCATGGTCGGTTGATTATTGTAGTGGACTCCAGGGAGATAATTCACTTAGGCAGCACGTGATAAGTGCCCTTTAAGGGCACCTGTCCTACTTGGGGTTACCTACTTGGGGTTACCATGATAACGGAACCTAATGGTGGGGTTAAAGGTCAGGTAATGACAGTGCACCAGTAATGGTTTTGCATTGATTAAATGGCCACAAAGTCTGCAGCCAAAGAAACTAAAGTTTGCCGACTGTATTCATCCCAGCGCTTCTCCATTGGTCACCCTGATGTGATCAGGGCGAGGGGCAGAGAGGAGCGTCGTGCAGGCTGACAGTTGGCTGTAAGCCGCAAACGGCAGCCCCATCTGCACTTTTGGGACACAGTGCATAGAGCTATGTTTCGTGGGGCAGCGTTTCAACTGGGACTTGGTCATGGCTAAAGATGCTATTCCCCTACCTGTGGCGCCTATGGTGTGTTGGTGGACCTTAAAGGTCGGCGCTGATAAATGACTAATTGTTCTCACGAAAGCTCCCCATCAGCAGGCCAGAATTTGACAACATGGAGCGCTACAAATAGTACAAGTTGTGATTAGTTATGGTATAGGAAGAGCACTGCAAAATATTTGTCTTTGAAAAGTGTGTGTGTGTTCAGGACAGGAAAACACTCCTGGCTGGGAATATGCTGAAGAATACGTGAAGACAAAAGCTCCAATTAGTTGTCCACTATTAACCTGCAAGCTTCCTGTCTTCTCCTCCAAAACACCCTCACTGAAGGTGAGAGACGCTGCTGCGCATTGATACCAATATCCAAAAAGAATGATGGTAAATGGACTGTACTTGTATAGCACTTTTCTAGTCTTCTGACCACTCAAAGCGCTTTAACACTACATGACATCATTCACCCATTCACACACTGATGACAGAGAACCATACACAGTGACACCTGCCCATCAGTCACTAACATTCATACGCTGTAGTCGCAGCTACAGGAGCAATGTTGGGTTAAGTGTCTTGCCCAAGGACACATCAACATGCGGGTTAGCAGAGCCTGGGATCGAACCGCCAACCCTCTGATTAGAAGACAGCCATGCTCCCCACTCACCCACAGTCGCCCGAATGATAAATGAACATAACAGACATGGTTGCGTCTCCAGCTCACTGATGATGAGCCATATATTCTGGTTGTCTTAAAAGGCAAAGCAATTATATTTGTATAGCACATTTTAACAACAAAGCAATTAAAAAAAAAATCCAAACATAAAGTAAGGAGATTTAAAAAACAGTTTAAAACATTGATTGAAAAATAGAAAAAAAGACAACGTTAAAAAACTAAAAATAGAATAAAATCTGAGTACTAAAATTCCCAAATGGTCAATTAAAGGCAGCAGCAAAAAGAAACAGGCTTTAATCTGGATTTAAAGGAGCCGAGGGACGCAGCAGCGTTCTGGGATGTAACCAAACACATGGCTGTGTAGAACTGATGTTTACATCACACAGTAGAGCCAGTAGCCTTTCAACATATGAACGCATTTTACGAAGACAAACTGTTAAAAGGCGTCACAATCAGTGTGGGGGGGTTGTCCATGTCATACAGAAATAATGCTGTGATCATCCGAGGCACAAAGTCATGAATTTTGTGTAAATATGCAATTTCTTTCATTTTTAGATCCATTTTTTCTAACATTCTGTGTGTATAGCATGCTATTTATTCAAGGTGTGTTAATTACATAAAATAGTATTCCTAACTACATCATGTCTTAGTTGAGACTACATTTTTATGACAAGGTCTTTTACTGACCATTCTTTTCATTATCACTAAGACTAAAACAACAGCAATGGAAGCATGTCTCTTTTTATGCAGCTGGAGGCAGCTCTTCACAGCCCATCTCAGTCTAGCCTGCTTGGTTTCTGCATTGCCAGTACGTCTTTACCACAGGGTTACCTCTGGGTGAGTACAGTGTGGATGGACTTGAGGTTGTCCCCCTTTGAGATACACCACACAGAGGAATGCTTAATGTGCTGCACAGGATGTCCCTAAACTGTCATTATACAGCGCATATAAAAATCATAAATGTAGACTAATACTGAATATTTGTTACAGTTACCGTAACAGTCTCACATATTCTATGGTGCTTGCAGCAATGTATTAGATCAGGGCCCGCCGGGGGGCAGAAATATCAATATCAGATATCTGGGTATATAAAATATTAATCTTTGTGTAACATCTTCACAGTGCATTCTGATAATAACACACCGATTGGCCAACCCTGATCTTCATTCTTACCCATGGCCAGTATTCTCTCAAATATTGTGTTGTACTCATCTTGGATACATTTTATTTATTCACTGAGATTGGCTTCTTGTCTCCTATGGAGCTCAGGTTGCAGGGGGAGAAAGCAGCTTCAACAATGGCCAAGTGCAGATATTCTCGCTGAACCGAGCAACTCCTCGCCTGGTCAAGACTGTCCCGCTTAGTTCCCCTGTCCTCTGTCTGGAATATGTGAAGGAGCCGTGTCCCAGCACAGAGGAGAGGGAGGCCCCGTCCGCAGCCAAGATAGGAAACATCATCTGTGTTGGCCTACAGGACGGCAGGTAAGACAGTCAGCAGTGAACACGTGTTGTTGAGATCAACATGTTCTCAAGTCAACGTAAAACCTGCTGGTATGCTGAGCTAGGAAACACCCAACGGCTGACGCCAGCCCTGTACTTGGTACTTACACATGAGGTTAATATCCATCAGAGTCAGTCTGTGTTCAACTTTTCCTTTAAACATTCATTCATATGTGTATATTACATTACATTACAAGTGCAATTTCCTCAAAATAAGCCAATTTACAATTTGCTATAGATGAGTGGCGTTACAAGAACAATTTAAGTGCCACGATTTGTTAGTCTTTTAGTCGAGGTAGAGTCTATATGTGTTCATACGTACATTCATTTCACTTTTAAATGTGTTTCCTCGTCTTCCCAGCATCTGTGTGTACAGCAGCGTGGACACAGCTGTTCAGTGCCTGTTGACCTTGGTGAACCCTGACCGCAGCCCTGTCCTCTGCCTCAAGCACTCGCTGTCTTTCCTCTTTGCTGGACTGGCCAATGGCAAAGTCACTGTTTACCATAGAAGGGCTGGTGGTGAGTTCTAACTGAAGAGCACTTCCATCACTGGCGTCTTGCTGCTTTGCAGCTTAGAATGAAGAAACTGTGGTCCACATTCTTGGTATTACATTGACCTTGTGGGTGCTAAACCATGGACCATTCTTTCCCTCAGAGCGACTGTGGGACGTGGAATCGTGCAGGCTGGTGTCTGTGGGCTGTGAGCCTGTCTGCAGTCTGCTGACACTTGAAGACGCTGTTTGGGCCAGCTGTGCCAACCAGGTCACTGTCATCCAAGGATCCAGCCTCCACACACAGGTATCAGCTACAGCTGGACCGTTGTCTCAAATAAAGGAGATCAAAAGGCTTGGATTAGTTTTTTAAGGAGATTTAAATGCGTAACCTGCTTCTCGTGGCAGTTTTGGCAATGGACAATTTTGGACAATTTTTAGTCCCACTGTCTCACATGTAAACAAATGCTACTGAATTCAATTAATTTTATTTTGTATAGCCCCAAATTGCAAATTACAAATGTGCCTATAAGGACTTTACAGTTTGTACCTATGCAAACTATCCGGTCCTGAAACCTTCACATCGGCACAGGAAAAATTTGATGGGGAGAAAAAAGCCCAAAAAGCCATTACGGAGCCTTTTACACGTTGATTACTCTGCTAAGAAAGCCTTCGGACATTGCTGATGGTTCAACAATGAATATTTTGAGTTTGTGAAACACTATCAACCTATTGTTTGCCATGGAAAATCAAGATGATTTTCTTGTGGCTTGAGATGCTGCGAAACTCCTTTGAGGATGCAAATACATATTTCAAAGGGTTCTTTAGCTTGAGTCCTTTGTGGTGAAAAGTTGTGAAAAGGAGGCTGGGAAAAGCATGTGTCGGCCCCCAGATGATCAGCACTGGCTCCTCTCTGCTCTTCTCCCTGTACACTAACAGCTGCACCTCCAGTCTCCAGTCAGTCCAGCTCCTAATAGCCGTGGACGATACCACCCTCATTGGACTCATTTCTGGTGGGGATGAGTGTGGCTACAGGTGGGAGATTGGCCACCTGTAGGCAGACCTGGTGCGGGCTGAGCAACTGAGAGTTCAAAGCTCTAAAGAGAGTGCAGATAGTTCAGATAGATTTCCGTTAAATCGCAGCCCCATCACTCTCTGTGGTTTACATTATTGTTTGCACCATCCCGACAAGAAAGAATCCTTGTTTGTGCAACATCTATGCCAATAAATGGTTCTGATTCTGATTCTCAGCATGTCATTCCACTAACAGATCCCCAAGCTTCTGCTGCAACGTATGTAATTCTACAAACAGATGCTTGATGCTGCTCAAGCAATGTATGTGATTCTGCCAACACATCCGAATGCTGCTTCTACAACATATCCATGTATCCCCTGCATTGCCGCCACAAACGTACCTGCTTTGGCATTGAACGCGATATCACAGAATAGAACAACAGTTACCTGCATATTGGGGCAATATAATCCCTGTACGCCCAAGCTGGGTTTGGATGCTTGGAGGCGTTTCCAGTGGGGGTTGCCCTTCGCCAGGGCTGCATCTTGTCACCAATTCTGTTTGTGGTTTTCATGGTCAGGATATTGAGGCGTAGTCGGGGGGAGCAGGGTCTACAGTTTGGGGTTCTGTGGATCTCATCGCTGCTTTTTGCAGATGATGTGGTCCTGATGGCATCTTCTGTCTGTGACCTCCAACTCTCACTGGAGCGGTTCACAGCCGAGGGTGAAGCGGTTTGGATGAGAATTAGCACCTCTAAATCTGAGGCCATGGTTCTCAGCAGGAAACCAATGGATTGCCCACTCCGGGTAAGGAATGTGTCCTTACCCCAAGTGAAGGGGTTCAAGAACCTCGGTGTCCTGTTCGCGAGTGAAGGGAAGATGGAGTGTGAGTTTACCTGGAAAATTAGAGCAGCAAGGCGGTATTGCACACACTTTACCGCACTGCTGTAACGAAAAGAGAGGTGTACCGGAAAGCAAAGCTCTCGATCTACCGGTCAATCTTTTTCCTACCCTCTTCCTACCCTCACCTATGGTCATGAAGGATGGGTCATGACCAAAAGAACTAGGTCACAGGTACAAGCAGCTGAAATGGGTTCATATATTAAGCATATTATTCATGTGCTTACAAAATAATTTTTTTCTCAAAAGACACAAATTCCGTAGCATTTGTCGCATTTGAGCTTGAGGTATTGCTGACCCATGACCTGCAGGCTCTGACCCTCTTTTTGCCCCTTTACTGTAGAGCTTCACAGCCCACTCTGATCCAGGCTGCAGTGTTCGCCACATGATTCGTTCAGGCGGGGGGGTTTGGATGGCCTTCACCCAGGGCTCCTCTATTCACCTGTTTCACACCGAGACCCTGGAACCACTACAGGATGTCAACATCTCCACCCGCACCACCCATCTGAGGCCAGGCAAGGCTAGACCAGATGGATATACAGCTCCTCAGATCACACACTTTCTGTAAAGTTTTTATTAGTAGAAGAAGTATAAAAAAATAGCTGAACACCATTTGAAATCTAAAGCTAATAAAGGTAATGAAGGGCTATCTGTTTACTGCATTGCAGTAGAGCCCTCGGCGAAGTCAACATGTGTATAAAGGTTAATTCAGTCTAACTTGAAATGCTTTGTATGGATTTCAGTAGTCAGTGTGAGTCCTTTTATGTTACTTTGCACCGGCCAGATATTGTCCACCAGTTAGATACAGGACCCACCCCACCATCGACCGCACCGTTCGCCAGTCGGACCGTCAGCGCCGCCACACCCACCCCCTCGACCGTAATGGTCTGGCCCGCGTTTGGTCGAAGTGGGCTGCAACTGGCCCGCACCTGAAATGAGTTTGAAACCCCTGTTCTAGAGGATGGTGACTCCAGGACTGGATCAGGGCTAGACCTGTTTGAGCTGTAATGGTGGTTACGATTAAGGCTGAATGTCTCCTATACACTAGGTCGGGTTTGTGTGTCTAGCCTGCTGATGTGCCAGGGCCTGCTGTGGGTGGGGACCAGCCAAGGCATCATCCTCACCTTCCCTCTGCCCACGCTGGAGGGCATCCCCAAGATCACAGGTTTGTGCTGAGTGCAGTCGCTGTCCCAATGGCAGCATGTTCTGTGTGACTGTAGCTGTGTACGTGCACATGTACATCTCTGCAGCTTGATGTCATAAAAAAAGTTAAATGACGCAGCCTGGTACCAAATGGCCCCTGGAGCAGTACCGGTCCGTGCCCCGGTGGTTGGGGACCACTGCTCTATATAATCAGAAGAGTCGCCATTTCCGCTTTGGATTTACTCGGGAGACCTGGAGTTTGCCGTTCAGCCAATGTTTACTTTTAGCTTTGCACAGGACAAACACTAGAATATATTCAATATATATATATTTTACCCATTTATCTTCCTCCCTTCAATTCGTCAGTAATGACGTATTTCAATGTGCAGTGCATCTGAATTAATCTGACTGGTTATTGACCACTTGCAAGCAAGACTATGTTGAAAGAGATTATTTGGGTTACTTTTTTAGAAGCTCTAAATACATTCCACAAGAGGACCTGGTGGCAGCTTTGGTCACTCGCCATGTAATCCCTCACCTTGTCATAGTGAGCACTGACAGTAATAGCATGTTAACATTTGCCCTTCTCTCAATTGGTCTCCTTAATGTTGCTTGTCCCACTGGTCTCAGTGAGGATTTTGATAATAAAGGCACTTTAATTAAGATTTGTCAGTTTGTAAACACAACATTAGTAGTAGGCTGGTGAAAGCCAGCGCCAGATTCCCTCTCGTCACTCATTTTGGAGCAAGCTTTGTCCAAAGCACAAGCTTTGGGTTCACTCGCCGCTCTAAGCAATTTTTGTGCCTGTAATCACACCAAGTTACAATGTTTTACAGAGACTGAAACCCAAAGGCCACAGAAAACAGTGAAATAAGAAGATCTAAACAGAGAACAGAATCTCTGCCGATGTATAAGTCAGTACTCATTACTTACACATCCGGGTCATTGTGCCTTTAAACTTTGTTTACTTCTCTCTTCGAACTCTATGACCTCTTAAACTGCCTTTCCACACACACATACACACTGTTTGCTTTTTGTTGGGTTAATAGTTGCTTGTTGGAAGATTGAAACATAACCCTGATATTTATCCTGTGGATACATATCATTTACTTCTTGACATCGGCATGTGAGACACCCATATTCATTAAGCTGTCCTACCCTCAGGTAAGGGGATGACGTCTCTGAATGCCCACTGCGGTCCGGTGGACTTTCTGGTGTCCAGTTCCAGCACACTGGACTCCTTCCTCAACAGTAGTGTGGAGGGGGCGAACCGAGAAGCAGAGGGCGGTCGAGGTGGTGGGGCGGGAGATGAAGAGTTGCGGAAGTGTGAGCAGAGAAGCCTTCAGCAGGACTCAGAAGCTTCTCCACCCAGGGAGGAGAAACCCAAACGTCTCCTGCTGCAATATCGTCTCCATTCCACCTGCCAGCTGCCTGGGAAGCTGCTGTCTGCTCAGCCCGAACAGGGGATCCACAGGCCCCCCACCGGCTGTCTGGAGCACAGCCCGGAGGACTGCTCCATCTATGAAGTGAGCGAGGACCCTGATGTGTGGGTAAGAGGACGGCCAGTGGAGTGGTGGAAGGAGGGGGAGGTCAGGCGCAACAAAGTCACCTCAACAGCCATCTTCTCCGGTGGCAGAGGACACCGCAGGATAGGACAGATGTCCTCACTAGGCACCTGCTCAGCCTCCACTGAAAACACTCTGCTGGTGTGGCAGCTGCCTCTGACTCTCAGCCAATGACAGACAAGCATTTCACCCTGACTTTCCTGAATGACTGCTTAGTTACTGCAATGCTGAACACTTGATATCAGTGGTTTGGTTGTGACAGGAGAACACTGTAAGGACCTGTTAGCAAGCTAACACTAAAGCTAACATTGCTTGTGAAGCCAACCAATGCCTGTCAGCTGATCCATACTCATGTGGACCATTGAGGATAAGTTACTCTTTGAAATGTTTGAGTTTTCAAACATTTCGCTCAGGAGTATTTATACAGAACCAGAGTAAAGTGATTCCCATTCATCTGTCCTTTCATCCTCCTCCTAACCCTAACAACAGGTGAGGGACATGTGATTTTATTATGCTGTTAGTCTAGCTTAGTGTGTTCAGTTTCCTGAAGTTTTCTAGAAGTTTCTTTAGCCGTCTTGTCTGTACAGAGACCAAAAACCTGCAATATAACCAAAGAAGGCTGGAGAGAATTGCTGCTGTTTGTCAAATGTTGTTCCAGCACCTAACTCCTTGAAAGCTCAAAACTCTACCTATATGTCAAAACAAGGTATTTGTCACACCTTGGTGAAGTTGTTTGGTTTGTTTTATTTGATCTGGTCTTTTGTCTTGTCATTTCCTGTTTTATTTTGAAATAGTAACTCTCCTCTCGTTTCAGGTCACTTACCTTTCCTCATGTGTCACCAGTCTGATTGTAAACTGTGATTTTGGTCTTTTGAAGGGGGCCAGGCCCACCGATGTGCCTGCGTCTCTACCTATGGAGCTCATCTGGAGTGAGAAAATTAATAAACAGTTTCATGCAAGGTCAATAGGATGCCGCAAGGATGCTTTGGAGAGTGTGTCGTTAAATGAAATATAATGGATGTTGTGTCATTAAATGGACGCTGTGCTATTAAATGGATAATGTGTCACTGAAATGTTGTTTTACATTCTATATTAAAAAGCATATTGGAATCGCTGTCAGGTACCAACCTGCCGTGAAGAGAAAGGTTGGCGACGAGCACAGACAATTTCAGGAACAGTGGGAGACAGAATATTTTTTATAAATATAATTTCTCTCAGACAAATCATAACCAAAACCACAGTGAAAGTAGCGACCCAGCATACACAGAAAAAAAGGTTGATTAAAAGGTTAATTCATTCGAGGCGGTAAACTCTGAGCATCCGAGGAATCCGAAAAAGGCCAGGGAGAACATGGCTCCCAAGGATAAGGCAAGGTGCGGGTTATTGTATCTGGAACGAATAATGATCATACGGGTGAACAGAAGGTCAAAAGGTGAGGGGGAGGCGACGAGGGCCATGTGAGGGCTCTTTCTTTGACAGTCCTTTGAGGAGTGAGGGTAATTGGGGATGATTCCAGGCTTCTCATGTGTTCCCGGTTAAGAGTTTGCAGAAGACGTTCATGCCACCACGGTAGGTTTGATCTGCGATTTGATAGCCATCTCGGAATGGGCAGAGGTGATGAAGCACGTCGTGGACACCAGGTCGGATGACAGGAAGGTTACTTGGTAACGGTTGTGAAGGCTATTCCATGCTGTCCAGTAGGAGGCGAGGGTGGATGGTGATAGGCTGTCGAGTATGGAGTTTTGCAAGCTGGAGATCAGCGGTAGAAGGGCAGGGTTTACAGGTTGAACGTCGGTGCCCAATATGGAAGAAATGGCGTTGGATGTGTGTCTGCATGAGGAGCCAAGATTCTGAACTTCATATCCCATTGTAGAAGCCCCCAAAACCAACAGAAGGAGCAGAGTCCGTATACAAATGTAGATTGTGTGTCTTCATAGAAAAAGGTGATGCCGTTCCAAATGATAATACCTTTCTTTTCTGACCACGATGGGGTTTATGCGGTAATGGGGGATCGGCGGTTGTGTGGCTGGACAGATTACAAAACCTTCTTTCACTTCCTTGGCGAGGAGCTGGTCGACTGATTCTGGTTCTTTCAAGGCTGACTGAAGATTTTTTCATTTAAAAAGGGGTGAACGGTTTACTGGCAAGTCCCGGGTGGAAACCTTTAAGTCCATCGATGAGGATCTGTGCAATATGTACAACAACATGCCAGTGCCATAAGTCTTGCTTACAGCTTGCGTTACGTTGCTGCCTCGTTGTGTTGCCTTTTGGTGTGACGTTGTTACATTGTGTGAATACTAAACATAGACGTTAGCTGTGAGGAGGCCTCCCGGTTGCGCCAAGCAGTTGGGGAGGGTGGAAGAGGGTGGTAGGGTGAGCAGCCGTCTTGGTGCCATGAGTCTTGCCAACAGCTTTACGGCGTTACGTTCCTACCTCGTTGCTTTACAACGGCATTGCAGCCTTGGCGGTGTTGCCATTGTGTGACGTTGTTACATTTGGCATTATGTAAATACTGGAAATTAACATTAGCCGTGAGCTGGCATCCCAGTGCCGGTTGCTCCGACTTGTAGTCATGCATGGTGTGACCAGGAAGCGTAAAGCTCTGGCATCCCGGGGTCAGAGGTTACGCCGAGCTGTAAGGGGAGGTTGGGAGACGGTGGTAGGGTGGGCAGGCATCTCTGTGCCTCACAGAACTATCCCTTTCAGACGGTGGTCCACCAGGTAATCCTTTCGTTCCAAAAGTGGTCAAGAGTCTCTGCCGGTACCGTCCTCTCTGGTCCCGTTTGTTGCCTGAGACGCTGGCAGCAAAGTCTTTGGCGGTAGAGCGCTCTTTTTATCAGCTGCACTTACAAAGGTCTTTCAGCCTTGGTCTGGTGGAATCTTTTTAGTTCTCTCCTCACCCGGCGAGTCGTCTCATCCGGTTACCAGAGCTTTTTGGGAGGTGGGTTGTGTGGCGGACACAAATGAGTGCTCCGAACCAGTTAACCTGTTAAAGGAACAGTTTTCTCATTGAGCCTTCCCAGGAAGCCCCATGGTCGTCTCCCTCCAGCCTCGAAACCAGTTATCTGCTTGATCCCGGTCCAGTCCTCCCACACATTGTTCTCTTGGAATTTGGCCTCCAGCTTCCTCCTGTAGGTGGCGTAGCACACCCTGAGCTTGTCCTTCAAGTGGCGCTGATTTCCTAAGTATACCCCTGTCCCTACATGGTATGGTGGAGTTTTCACAGAGTCAAACGTATTCCATAATGCATTCCGGCATGCTGTGGATGTCCTCCCGATGAGGTCCACACTGCCCATCTCAGTCCGTCAACCCAAAGCAGTCCTGCACGGCGTCTTTCGCCCCTGTTAAGCTCCTTACAGTCTATGGGTGGTCACAGGCTTCCTCAGCACCAAAGGAACATAACCAGGTGGTAACAAACGGGGAACCATTAGTGATAGATGGTTTATTGTAAGTCAGATTCAGTTTTCATCCTCAGGGAAACCAAGACTATACTTTGAGGGATCATTTCTATAGTTTCTGACTTGAGAAATGTGTTTCCACAATGATGAAATGTGATATTTCTCACTGGGCGTGAAGCGGGCACAGAGAAGTGATTCAGTTCACAAGCTTTCTGCCATTGATGACCGTTCTTTACTTCCTAGTGGAGTAAAGAGGTGGGGAGTATGGACAGAGTGGTTAACAGACTATGTGAATAGACATATAACTGATGAAGTTCTACTTGGTTAATAAATAGTAAAATACATGACATTGATGTGATACTTCTGACTGCTTTCAGTTTAAAGGGGGACTTTGTGACACCTTCCCGTAAACGGGTAAAGGGTGTGTTATGTTAGGCCCTGATTTCAGAAGCTTTTGTCCTCGTCTGTGCAGGTAGAAGATCTTGGAAAAGTATTTGCTTTGTCAAAGAACTCTGAACTGTTTATTATCTTTACAAGTGCAATGCGTTTGCCTTTCCAGTTTTTGACGGTAGAGGGGTCTTTTTATTTTTACGCTGACTTGGACAGAGGAAACGGTTCTCAACCTATAGCTTGTGCAATGCCAAAGAACAATCAGCTGCACCTCTGAAGGTCCTTCAACCTTGGTCTAGGGGAATCTTTTTAGTTCTCTCCTCACCCGACGAGTCGTCTCATCCGGTCATTGATGGAAGAGCCCTTTGAAGTTTAGAGCTCTGTGTCAATGCTAGTCAACAGAGAAGGGGGTTACCAGAGGTTTTTGGGAGGTGGGTTGTGTGGCGGACACAAATGAGTGCTCCGAACCAGTTAACCTGTTAAAGAAACAGTTTTCTCATTGAGCCTTTCCAGGAAGCCCCATGGTCGTCTCCCTCCAGCCTCGAAACCAGTTATCTGCTTGATCTCGGTCCAGACCTCCCACACATTGTTCTCTTGGAATTTGGCCTCCAGTTTCCTCCTGTAGGTGGCGTAGCACACCCTGAGCTTGTCCTTCAAGAGGCGCTGATTTCCTAAGTATACCCCTGTGCCTATACCAGAAGCCTGTTTTCTTCTTGTCAAGAAGACCTTTGAGGTCACTGGTGACCGTTGGGTTGTTGTTGGTGAAGTAGTGTACAGTCTGGAATGGTATGGTGGAGTTTTCACAGATTCAAACGTATTCCGTAATGCATTCTGGCTTGCTGTGTGATGCCTCCCGATGAGGTCCACACTTCCCATCCCAGTCCGTCAACCCAAAGCAGTCCTGCACGGCGTCTTTCGCCCCTGTTCAGCTCCTCACAGTCCATGGGTGGTCGCAGGCTTCCTCAGCACCAAAGGAACATAATCAGGTGGTAACAAACGGGGAACCATTAGTGATAGTTGGTTTATTGTAAGTCAGAATCAGTTTTCATCCTCAGGGAAACTAAGACTATACTTGCAGGTATCATTTCTATAGTTTCTGACTTGAGAAATGTGTTTCCAAATGCTCTGGTCTCGCTATCCACGATGATGAAATGTGATATTTCCCACTGGGCGTGAAGCGGGCACAGAGAAGTGATTCAGTTCACAAGCTTTCTGCCATCAATGACCGTTCTTTACTTCCTAGAGGAGTAAAAAGGTGGGGAATATGGACAGAGTGGTTAACAGACTATGTGAATAGACATATAACTGATGAAGTTGTGCTTGGTTAATAGATAGTAAAATACATGACATTGTTGTGATACTTCTGACTGCTTTCAGTTTAAAGGGGGACTTTGTGACACCTTCCCGTAAACGGGTAAAGGGTGTGTTATGTTAGGCCCTGATTTCAGAAGCTTTTGTCCTCGTCTGTGCAGGTAGAAGATCTTGGAAAAGTATTTGCTTTGTCAAAGAACTCTGAACTGTTTATTATCTTTACAAGTGCAATAAGTTTGCCTTTCCAGTTTTTGACGGTAGAGCGGTCTTTTTATTTTTACGCTGAATTGGACAGAGGAGACGGTTCTCAACCTATAGCTTGTGCAATGCCAAAGAACAATCAGCTGCACCTCTGTAGGTCCTTCAACCTTGGTCTGGGGGAATCTTTTTAGTTCTCTCCTCACCCGACGAGTCGTCTCATCCGGTCATTGATGGAAGAGCCCTTTGAAGTTTAGAGCTCTGTGTCAATGCTAGTCAACAGAGAACGGGGTTACCAGAGGTTTTTGGGAGGTGGGTTGTGTGGCGGACACAAATGAGTGCTCCGAACCAGTTAACCTGTTAAAGAAACAGTTTTCTCATTGAGCCTTTCCAGGAAGCCCCATGGTCATCTCCCTCCAGCCTCGAAACCAGTTATCTGCTTGATCCCGGTCCAGACCTCCCACACATTGTTCTCTTGGAATTTTGCCTCCAGTTTCCTCCTGTAGGTGGCGTAGCACACCCTGAGCTTGTCCTTCAAGAGGCGCTGATTTCCTAAGTATACCCCTGTGCCTATACCAGAAGCCTGTTTTCTTCTTGTCAAGAAGACCTTTGATGTCACTGGTGACCGTTGGCTTGTTGTTGGTGAAGTAGTGTACAGTCTGGAATGGTATGGTGGAGTTTTCACAGATTCAAACGTATTCCGTAATGCATTCTGGCATGCTGTGGATGTCTTCCCGATGAGGTCCACACTTCCCATCCCAGTCCGTCAACCCAAA